CGTGCGTGCGTGCGTGCGTGTGTGTCACTGTGTGTGGTGGGGGGGGGGGAGGGGGGTTCTTGCGTGTTTCGGTGCCTGAAGTTGGGGAGGGGCGAGGGGTGGAGGGAAAACGTGGTAGGAGTGGGGGAAGCTAACACGTTTGTTTTTTTCGTGCGAATGTTTTGCGAATCTTTCTCTCTCGCTCTCTGTTTCCTCCACCGTTTTTTTCTGCTCCCTCGGCCACCACGATTCTCACATCTAAGCCGCCCAACCCTTCCTCGACCGCCTGAGCACGTTCTCTTGTTTGCGTTGCTCCCCCTCTCCCTCTCGCGGCCACTACTCATCCTGCTGCCCCGCTCGAATGCGATCACTGGTGAGTGTGCATGTCGCGCAACGCTCTTATGTTTTGTGCACGTCCTTGTTTCTCGATTGTCTTTTGAGACCGTTGCCCCCAGCTATTGTCGTAATATCAGGATGTATAATATAGAGATACAGGGTGCGAAATTAACGAAGCCAAATACTCCCTGATTTTCTGTCGGACTCCCAGATTTGACATATGCAGGAGTCCGTGTGACTCCCTGAAAATGTTGCTATACTAACTAGTTCGTTCCAGAGCACGGCCTCGCGGAATTACCGTATTTTTTCAGCAAATGTCCAAAGAAAATTTGGCAGCTCATGCGTATTGTTAATATCTTTAATTTTGAACCTCAGACTGCGGACTCCCTCATTTTGCCTTGGACTCCCTCTTTTTGAGGGCAAGGAGTCCGTTGGACTCCCTTGTTCAAAAGTTAATTTCTACCCCTGGCTCAGATACACTATATTATACACACCTGATAATATAAGGTTCCTTCTGGCAATACTCCCCTGCCCTTCTTCAAGGTGCCTGCAGCAACTATAGCTCCCCAGGGATGCCTCCCCGCTCGCGTGAGCCGCGGTGCATGCGCCGCGCGACGCACACTTGCATCAGTAGACTAGCAATCACGTTACATGTAATGGAGAATTTACTCACATTAATGGGAGTCTCAGACAGGGCTGGACTGGCGTTCGGGAGCACTTGGAGTTTTCCCGGTGGCCTGGCCTGCTAAGTGGCCTGCCCCCCCCCAATTAAAAAAAATTATAATCTGCGGCCTGCAGGCCATATATATATATATATATATATATATTTATATCTTAAATCTGCAACCTGCGGGCCATTTCGATCTATACGGCCTGCAGGCCATATTACACAAGTTTTCCTGGTGGGGGAGTCCCGGGACCCCCAGACCCCCCGCTTAAAAAGTGGCCTGACTAGGGCTATATTTCGCGCTATATTTCCCGACCTGAATGATTTTCCCAGTCCAGCACTGGTCTCAGACTTCCTGAGAATCTTAATAATGGGGGAAGGCTGATCACGGTTGTGTGATCTGTGTGTGAAATGACTGCCGCATGGAGTGTTGCATGCGCTGTGATAGTGTGTGAACGGTCTGTCTTGCTGCTCTGTGTTTGCATGTAATGCAGGCATCAATGATTGTCGTGAGTGAATATCGATGTACTACGTATGATCAAATTATTGTGATTCGTAACTCTTTTTATAACTAACTTATTTATTGCCGTTGTTCTCGATCTATTGTGTAATATCAAGAGCTTCTAATACTTTTAAGGTTACCTTTAAGCTCTTATTATAAGCTCTTTTAATACGAGATTGCCAGTCACTTGTGCTCTCTGCACATGTGAGGTAGTCATCACTGGCGCCCTCTGCATACACAAAGTAGTCATCACTGGCGCCCTCAGCACACACGAGGTAGTGATCACTGGCGCCCTCTGCACACATATGCAGTAATGATCACTGTCTTGCTTCACCATGCTCGCGTTGCAACGCCGGCAGTTTACTAGCGCCCTCTAAGTGTATCATTGAACTGTTCCTCGCTCGTCTTTCAGCTCGTAAACAGGACATCATCAGAATGACGGAGCAGCTACTGGATGCAATCACGTCCGGTGACTACGAGGCATACACGTACGTATAGACCTAGTCTAGCAAACCAGCTAGTCCATCCAACCACCTAGTCTGTCTAACCATCCAGTCCAACCATTCCTCTCTTTCTCCTCTCTTTCTCCTCTCTCTCTCTCCTCTATTTCTCCTCTTTCTCCTCTCCCTCTCCTCTCTTTTTTCTCTCTTTCTCCTCTCCCTCTCCTCTCCTCCTCTCTGTCTGCCCAGCAGTTCGCCACCAGCAGCATCACAACACCCACCACGCCCCCTGCCCCTCGCCCACCCACCGCGCCCCGACCTCCAGCTCAGCGACCCTTCAGTCGAGCGCCACGGTCGTACAGGTGGACACGAGCGGTCGGAGAGCGAGGGTTCGTAGTCAGCTGCCGTCCAAGTGTGCCGACCGTAAGTGCTGCGCATCTCTGCATCGTCACCGGGAGCGGTGCCCATCTAACTCGGGGGGGAGGGGGGAGAGTGGGCAGAAGTGTGTGTGTGTGTGTGTGTGTGTGTGTGTGTGTGTGTGTGTGTGTGTGTGTGTGTGTGTGTGTGTGTGTGTGTG